TTGAAAGAGCACACCTGGTATGTAATCGAGGTGTCGTAACTCCCATTCAACACTCATAGCAGTGTCATACCCCGTTGAACACCGTTATTGGTGTAATGACATTGCTTGAACACCGTTTAAGGTGTCACATGACACTTGAAATAACACACTTGGGGTGTAATCGAGGTGTCTCAACTCCCATCCAACACCTTTTTTGGTGTTACAGAGAAAACATAACACCCTTTAGGTGTACTGAGTGTGCCATGTCATCCCTTAAACACCGTTTAAGGTGTCACACGACACTTGAAAAGCACACTTGGGATGTACCCAATCGAAGTGTCGATCCCATTCAACACTCCTTTTGCAGGTGTCAAAGAGAAAACAAAACACCCTCTGGGTGTAGGTATTGAAAGTGTCATGTCATCACTTAAACACCGTTGAAGGTGTCAGTGACACTTGAAAGAACACAATGATATGGTATCATATCACATCACATCACAATGTAGGTATTGAAGTGTTATGAAATGTAAGTGTTAGCTAGTATTATCGTAGGGGTCTGAGCCGTAGGGGGTCTGAGCCAGGGGGTGACTAACACCGTTCGTATTCTCTTGGTACTTCATGTAGTTATAAATGTTATTGTTTAGCTGGGACAGAGACATTCTAGCATAAAAATATTCAAATTACCAGCTTCGTTTATTAGTTACGGGAGCTTTCGAAAGACGTTCGTCTTTCTTCGTCAGCCTGTCTTTGCAGTGTCAGACACCCTTGAAATTCCCTATGGGTGCAGTTGGGTAGATGGCGCTGCTGTGCTGTATGGTGTACAGTGTTGCCGGCGGCTCGCTGCGTGCGAGAGAACGTGGACTGTATGTTAACGTCAGCAAAGAAGGTACAAGATACCTGTGTGGCTGTGCAGTTCTCGATATACCCCTTTACTGAAAGAGTGTATACAAAATAGGTCTGTATTGTCTTTGACCTCGGGCATTCAAACGTGCGGGCAAAGAAACATGCGGGCAAAACGAGCGACAATAATAAAATGAACGGTAAAATAACGACGGATGCTTAAAAATAGAGCACTTCACGGATAGGCTTTTTAGGATCCGGCCCGGCCCATATCCGGCAAGTCATATCCAGATCCGCCCATTATCCGCCTTTCTTTGAATATCAGAATCCGGCCCACCCATGGCCCGTATTGCAGCCAAACTTCCAAAAAATATCCGTAATAATCCGTTTCATCAATAACTGGTTTCACCCAAAACTGGACTAACAAATTCAATCTAAGGGACCAGACAGCCATACATCTCATAGACCATCATGGTTCCAAAAACCATGCATACATTGCATACATTACCTATCCACTTGAAGACAAGTCTTGTGACAAGTGAGTGTCATAAAATGATGCCTATTACTTTAATCAAACCTCTGCTGCCGCTTAACACATTAGGTTAATTTTTAACTTCAATGTTGAATGTTAAAATTTTGATCCGTTTTGATCACACACACACACACACACACACAACGAATTTTATTACAAACATAAATGGACAGAAATAAAAATAAGATGAACATGCAATTGGCGCAAAAGTGCCTTAGCACTTGATTCATGGCGCCTTTTGCTTAATCAGCATTTTGATTTCGTACACTTTTTACCTTATTATCTATGTGTTTGCTTACTTATTCATTTATTGACTACTTGTTGACCGCCGCTCGTGTAGGTGTGGTTACTTTTACCCGCTCAGTAATAAAGATGGATCAGCAGCCGGCAGCAGCAGTGCCAGGGGTTCCCAGAACTACAGACGAGGGTGTACATGATGTCATTAAAAACGTTTAGTTGACGTAATATAATTTTGGACCTGTTGTGCTAATGTCAGGAGTTGTTCGTTGTCATGTCGATAGATACCCACCTCACAATGCGTTCTCGTGTCACGGCTGGGGTGCTAACCGCACGTGCGCACATGCAGAGGCCGCCTACACAAATCGAGAATGACTACATTGGGCATATACCTGCTTAGGGGCCGATGAGCAGAGCGCCGTACAAAAGTCATTAGCGTTTGCTCCGATCACCTCCCCGTCCCGTGTGGCTGTGAAAAGGCCGTCACCGCCGGCGGGCTTGTCGTTTCCTCCAGCTCTGGTGTGAGCCCCCGCCAAACCCGGGTGAACGACGAGGGTCGTTTGGGAACAATGGACAGTAGCCGTTTTCACGGCGGCCATCTGGTACACGTTTGGTGCACATCTGGTGCAGATTAGGTGCAGATTTGGTCAAATTAGGTGCATTCGCCGGAGAGTCCGTCGTGAAAACGGCTAGTACGGTGATAAAATGATAGGGATGGTGGGTGGGTAGCACTGCGCGCGCCCTCGAGCGCCGCGGCTCGACGCCGCTAGCAGCCTCCTTGTCGTTGTCGTTTGTAGGTCCTCGGAGCTAGTTTCCCCAGGCTCGCGATACCGACACGGCCCGCTGGCCGCGGTGTCGCGTGCGTGGCTATTTCCAGGTCCCCATTTTTTTTTCTCTCCCCACATTTCTCTGCGCGCAGCAGACGATCCACACAGCGTCACGTCTACACGGCATTTTCCCCTGCGCGGCGTGTTTACACAGGGGGGAGGGCGCTATACCGACACAGCCCTTTTTCGGCTGCGGTATCTACACATTTTTTTTGTACCCGTCGCGATCGAGATACCGACACTGCCCTAGTCCGGCAGCGGTATCGCGATCATCATCATACATCTTGTATCGCATAAGTGTGCCTCTAACATACATACGCTTCACATTATCGTAGGCTTCTCCGCCCGTCCCGGGGCTCCGGTTTAGCTGTGCGCTCGCCCGCGTTTCTTCATACATTTATCGCTTGTCGCCTTCCCTCGGTGTTTCGGTGTTGGGGAGTATGGGCGTGCCACCTCACAAAGGCTGGCTGTGTGAAATGGTCGCTTATGTTCACCGACCTTATGTTCACCGACGAATACATTCCCTGAACACGCGCCAGCCTTTTCCTCGGGAGCGAGACGGCGGATAAATGGTAGTTTTCGGGACGGGCCGGCACCGTACCCGAACACTCATTTATCGGACGGTCTAGCTCCGAGGATTGACCTCGTGACGTCAGGCGCGCGCCCCGATTCAAATTTTGGATTGGATTGGATTCAAATTTAGAATCCAATCCTATCCGGTCCGCGGATTTATCCGTGGATAACGGATTTATCCGGCCCATGAAGTGCTCTACTTAAAAACCTGGAGCGATATCCCAAGTTTTTAAAGGCAGAGGACAGCAGCCTTCATGGTACAAATACCAATATCAGGCCCATGAAACTTAAAAACCGTGCCGCACGGTGTCCAGTGAGCAAAAGAGCCTCTGGCGCCGCCCCGGCCGCCGCGGTGCGCGCGCCTGACGTCACGAGGTCAATCCTCGGAGCTAGACCGTCCGATAAATGAGTGTTCGGGTACGGTGCCGGCCCGTCCCGAAAACTACCATTTATCCGCCGTCTCGCTCCCGAGGAAAAGGCTGGCGCGTGATCCGGGTTCAACCTTCAATTCCCAAATCCGGCCCGCCCATATCCGTTCTTTTTTAACAAATTTAGAATCCAATCCTATCCGGTCCGCGGATTTATCCGTGGATAACGGATTTATCCGGCCCATGAAGTGCTCTACTTAAAAACCTGGAGCGATATCCCAAGTTTTTAAAGGCAGAGGATAGCAGCCTTCATGGTACAAATACCAATTCAGCCGTAACCTATCAGGTGGGCAGCGGTCGGGGATCGGCGGGAGGTGGTGTCTGAGTCAGTACTGGAAACTAACTGACGCACCGCCCGGCGGGAGGCTCTGACCTCGGATCGGTCGATCACGTGACAGGTCACTCGTTTAACATACGTGGGCACCGGCACCGAGCCGGCGGCCGCGCGGAGCGGCCGCGCGAGCCGCGCTCAAAGTACCGGTGCACCCAGCCGCCGTGCCGGGTAAAGCCACGATCGCCGAACGGAGAGCGTTACATAACCGCAACATTCCGCGACATTCTCCCCACCCGAAAATCGCAGGCTTCTGCGATTTTCGAACTCCCGAAACACAACACAAAGACACGTCGCTCGACACGAAACCAAAATCTGACACTCCTCGCACACCACTGTCCGGCACTCGTTCGATCACTCGCGACGCTCACTTGACGGAGCGTGATTAGGTCTCAGAATGACCAAAACGCGACCAGTCGCGCAGCACCAGCGCCGGCTGGTGATCGTGTCACCACTCAGCCTCGGTGGAAGCCTCGAGCTGCACCGATGGAGGCGTCCAGTGGGCAACGAATGACCGGCGAGCGGTGCGGATGGCGGCCGAATCGCTCAGCTCGGACTCCGTCATCTCAGCAGTCCGGCACCGGAGCCAGCGAGCGACCTCCTCATGCTCCGACCGGGAAAGGAAATCAGGCAGCTCTGTCGACAAAATGTGACACAATATGAGCAATAAATCAAGGCGTGTTACAAGTACCGATTCCAACAACAACGGCAATGGAAGGGGACACATCAACAAAGAACTGATTCCCGGATGGTTGAAAAACAATCATTACTTTAATGTTTCACTTGGTGATGTGCAAAACAATGTAGGGGAACATCATGGGGTTCAGCATTCGTGGCAGGTGCCATCTGAAGGGCCTGTACAGCAGTAGTAGAATCTCCTTCGTGGGTTCTGCAGACCCTCGAGACTCCACGGCCAGCTTGTCGAGCAGCACGTCACTCTCCTTGGCTGGGATTGAGTTCGTTCCAGAGTCATCGGCGGCGTTGGAGGCCGGGGAGGCTATAGACGGCACTGGCGCTCTGGCGGCCGCACAGCTTCACTGACCGCCATCAGGTTACCGGTAGGCTGCGGCCTGATGACCTCCCCACCATGCAGACGTGATGCCTTTGCCGGTGGCCCGTCATTCGTGGCTGCCGCTCTGTGGAGGGCCTTGCGAAGCCGTTTCCACGACCTGGAAGAGATTGTCGGCCCTTCGGACGGTGGCAGCTCCAGTTCCGGTGGCTGCATCACCGGTTGTGGTTCCTGGACAGGCACCTCAGCAGGTGGTGGGATCCTGGGTGTGTCGAGATCACACGTCAGTTTCTGTTGACGACCTGGCTGTGAGGGACGCTGTGGTTCCTCGGTTCGCTCTTGGAACCCGGCACGCACGAATGTGCCGGAGCCGATCACCGAGAGATCCGGTTCCTCTGCTACTGAGCTGCTGGTGTAGGACGCGCTGGATCCTCCATCCAGCGGCACTCTCAGCGTCCCAGAATTCTTTGGACCGTGTCTATGTCGGGCTTCCCCCGGCTTCCCTACTGCCTCCTGTAGATAGCAGGGTTGTCTGGTGGTCTGGATGCTGTAGCGATGCTTTGGTTGATGTTGTTGACCGTTCCTGACCTCTGTGTCAGTGAAGCGGTTGTCATCCCGTTGACCTGGATCCTGGCCCAGCTGTCCAGCAAGTGGTGCTGCGACAGGCTGTCCTCCAGTCTGATGATGGGAGGTGCCCGATGTTGGGGTGGGCACTGGAGCCACTGCTGGTGTCTGGTCGCGATGAAGTGATGTGTGATGAGGGCCGTGACACAGTATGCACGTGCCGCTCCTGCAGTCTTGGACGTAATGTCGACCCAGACACTTGAAACATGCTCCTGATTTCTTGACGATCTTCCACCGATCATCGACGGTCATCTCTTGGTATCGCGCACATCTGTCAAGACGATGTTGATACTGCTTGCAGACTGTGCATACCCATGATCTTGACGGTTGCCCCTGCACCCTCTGAGCATGAAGGACACTGGTTGTTGATTTCAGCGCGAGTGGGTCCGTATCCTCACTCGCCTTGGTGCAGGTCAATTGTACTGACTCCTCTAGACATTCCACCTCCGCCTGAAGAAATTGGAGAAATGCGGCGAACTCACTGCCCTGGTCTCCAGCAAGTTGTCCTCGCCTTTGCCTGGCCCATTGCAGCCTCCAGGGAGCGGGAATCTTTCCCTTCAGCACCGGGAGTAAGACGCTTCCGATGTTTGGCACCCTCATGGCTTCCAGTGAGCGTACACCTGCCGTCACCTCGTCCACCAAGCGCCTCAGAGCTTTGAGGTTGTCCGCGCTGGTGACGGCCGGCAGGTTCAGAAGCTTGGTGATGAGGAGGTCCTTGCGGATGTCGTCCTTCCCGAACCGGTCCTTGAGGATCTCCACAGCCACCATGTAGTCGGCTGTCAGCGGTAGTCCCTGAATCGCACGGGCTGCAAGTCCATCGAGATGCTGACGCAGGAAGCAGAGCTTCTGAACAGAGGAGTAACCCCTGTTGGTGTGAACGTAGGCCTTGAAAATCTCCCAGAACTCTGGCCAGGCCAGCAGGTCACCTTTAAACCTGGGCACGGTGATGTCCAGCTTGAACATCGCCGGAGGCGCAGATGGAACTGGAGAGGCCTCGGCTTGCTCCGTTCGCGCCAGGAGGCGCTTCCCGAGACCGATGGCCTTGTGGAGGTCTGCGATGTGCGCCGACTCATCTTCAACGCCCAGCGCCTTCAGCTCCGACTCCAGGTTCTCCAGCACTTCCAGGTGGCCCTCTCCGATCTCGATGCTGTAGTCGAGCTCGTATCGCGCGATGCTGTCGCTATCTCCATGGACTTGGGAGAATAGAGACTTTAACTCGTTTGTTAATTTTGTGGCCTTTGTGCGCTCCCTAGTGCGTTTGAGTTTAAACTGTTCAATCTCAGTTACGTTACTGCCCGTCTTATTCATTTTGGATGAACTGGGTGGTTCTGGCTATTCAGCACCTGTAAATTTCTAGTACTGCGAGCACATCCGGCCCGGAGGACCAAATGTTGCCGGCGGCTCGCTGCGTGCGAGAGAACGTGGACTGTATGTTAACGTCAACAAAGAAGGTACAAGATACCTGTGTGGCTGTGCAGTTCTCGATATACCCCTTTACTGAAAGAGTGTATACAAAATAGGTCTGTATTGTCTTTGACCTCGGGCATTCAAACGTGCGGGCAAAGAAACATGCGGGCAAAACGAGCGACAATAATAAAATGAATGGTAAAATAACGACGGATGCTTAAAAACCTGGAGCGATATCCCAAGTTTTTAAAGGCAGAGGATAGCAGCCTTCATGGTACAAATACCAATTCAGCCGTAACCTATCAGGTGGGCAGCGGTCGGGGATCGGCGGGAGGTGGTGTCTGAGTCAGTACTGGAAACTAACTGACGCACCGCCCGGCGGGAGGCTCTGACCTCGGATCGGTCGATCACGTGACAGGTCACTCGTTTAACATACGTGGGCACCGGCACCGAGCCGGCGGCCGCGCGGAGCGGCCGCGCGAGCCGCGCTCAAAGTACCGGTGCACCCAGCCGCCGTGCCGGGTAAAGCCACGATCGCCGAACGGAGAGCGTTACATAACCGCAACATTCCGCGACATACAGAGTTTGCATTTATATTCTAATGGATTTGCTTCAACTACATCAAATAAACAAATCCACGATAATAGATAAATAAATTCATATACAATACTTCAAAGAAAACGCGTCGGGAAAATATTGGGAACATAATGCAGCCCTAGTAGCCCATGTTCAACCGTTGGCTTCCATACGGCCGGCCGCCATACTAGTTTGAAACGTGCGCGACTGCGGGCGGAGGCGCTGGTGGGATTACGGTGTGTTGGGAGTATAAGTGTGTGCAAGTGAGTTAGAAGTGATCGTGAGTGGTGTCTTGGTACTCGAAGAGCTCCAGTTTTAGCAAAGGTGAGCTATTCTTGGCTAGCACTGGCACTGCTGCGGATTCCGAAAGACTGGCCGCTGGGGGGGGGGGGGGGGGATGGCGGCATACTCCCGATAGGGGTTCTTTAATATCCGAAAAATATATCCTCAGATTTTTTTTCTCTTGTGTTGGTGTGCAATTTAACACGCACCCTGCTTGGGTATTTATCCGAATTCGTAACCCCACTGGAGAGGGGGAGGGGGTTGGATTCTGCTTATTTCTATTATGCTCCGCGTATCCGTGCTGCTAGACTGATTTGCGATGCAATGTGGTGGCATTTGTTCCCTGCAACCTACATTCTGTGTGTAATTTCATAACGCTGTATCATATAGGTATGCATACAACTTATTGATTCCCCCATTGGGTATAGGGTGTCAGGTACAAATGTATCACTGGTAGTTTAAATGAATTGTTGGTAATAACAAGGTTGAATAACACCAATGATGAAAGTGGGTGTTCAGTTTATCACACATGTGAGCGTCATTCCCTGCAATGTCAGTGTTTGTTATCAATTTTACACCGTTACGAGTGTTACTAGGGTGTCTTAACAGTGTTGAAGTACACCCTTAATGGACGCCTGACGGATGAGCTTAAATTCCAAAGGGCGTTAAAAACAACGTAACCCGAAGCTGATATTAAGGGAGCCTTAGATTAGGTCAAAGGTCAGGTCACCAAAGTTCATCGAAGGACAAATTTTGCCTCTTACGCCACTTGTTGACGAATCGGCGAATAACTTGTGAACGAATAGAGCTACAGCGCCGCCGAAAAGTACACCCAGTAGCTCTTTCAACGTTTTTTTGTGGGTGTGAAATGCGTCCTCAGATTTGATCTAAGATCAACTAATTGCCCTACAGAGGAGAAAACCCATGAAATAAACGGTTTTACAGAAATTGTTTTCTGCAGCAATTCATTTGATTCAAAACCGACACGACATCTGATGTTCCGGCATCGTGTTCCTCGATTTGAGACGCGTCTAATTAAAAAATAATATGAACGTCAAATGTGATTTTGAAAATCTGACCAAGGGTTATGGTGATGACCCGACCAGAAAGGTCATGTTACAAATTAGTCGATTAGTATTGTCGAGCTGAACACATCTTATGTGTTTTCATCGCTCTGGCTCTATAAAAAGTTACTGTAAAAAAAAAAACTGAATAGTGGATAGTGGATACATGTCATGACCTGATAGCACGTCTTGGGTATAAATAGAGTCACGGGTGCAATTTTCCCATTCAGTGTGTAATGTTTCTCTGTTATTCAATGTTTGGGGGCGTTAAGTATGATTTTCGTCCAAAAGAACACATTTCAATTTGTTCCCGTTGACTTATGCATAATGTTTGCATTCTTGACCTTACAGGTTACAGATATCAAGCTTCAGAGATACGTATTTATTCATGCTGTTAATCTTATCAATCGCCTAAAATTTGAAAGTGATCACTCAGATAGTGTAGCATTGGCGAACAAACTCCTAATTTTCTGGGATGAGGTCACTTGATGTGGCCTGGTGACCTGACCTTGAGCGACCTGGGTATGAATTTTAACATGTGCAAAAATCTTGGACAAAAGTGGGCAGGGCGCCGCCGTTTTTTTTTTTAAGATCTGCGAAATACCGCAGGAGGGGGAGTGGTGTTCATGTTCAAACACCTCAAGCCCGCCGCGGAGTCATCCTATACTTGTTTCTGTAGTCTGTACGTATTTCTATTTCTAAGTGTCGTCCTTTCGTGTTTCTCCAGAATATGCCTCCCTGGATCTTCCCAGATGCCGCCTAGTGAGAACCCAGCGGAGCTTCACTTATAGGGCTGCATCCGCCTGGAACGCCCAATTAACACGCAGTTAGACTGGATAGCACCGGAGAGGCCCAAGTGAATCACCAGCGCTGTGTTTTAACCCTATTAGTGGCAGGCTCCTGGCTACCCCATATTAGTGGCAGGGGGAGCTGTTTACGACCCCCCCTTGATATCTCGAGATCTAACCGGCCGATTTTCAAAATTCAAACGGCATTCGATTTGGCTCAACGAGATCTACATTTCTAAAAAAAAAATTAAAAAATGTCAATAGGGGGTAGAGGGGGGTAAAAACGGGCAAATTGCAGATACATTTTAGACTGTTTATCACGGCCAGGTTTCTGAACCAATCTTAACGCAACTTTTGCCGATCGATAGAGAATGAACCAGGAATTCACATGGATCCTAAAAATATGCATTTTCAAAAATCATAGGCGGATACAGATCATTGAGATTGGGGGTACACAAAAAGTATAGTAAATAAGGTTTTTGTTGGTACTGTTTCTAAAAAGGGTGGCAATGGTCTTGTTATGTTACAATTTTCTTATGAGAGAACGACTAAAATTGTATTGGTCATGCATAGGCGGTGTCAGGGCACCTATGTTGGGAGGTAGAAAATAACCCCCCTCTTTGGACGCCTGGATCCGCCTATTATAGCAAAAACGTGTCAAAAGAGGATGCACAATAACTTTGTATATGTTATCACATGATACCTTTCATTCACTGTTCGTAAAACTGGTGCAGCATCGTGATCTTCGCCCAAATGACTCGCTTCACGAATAGGACCCCCCAATTCCCAGTGCCCTGGAGCCGCCCCTGGTAAAGTTATGAACTTGAAATTTTCAGGGAATGTGCCCAATTTAGTTTTAGGAAAAGTCAGAAAATTTCAGCATCGTAGCTTCAGCGGTTTCGGAGATATTCCCGAGAAACCTGAGGGGTGGATAAAAACAACCCCCCCCCCTGCCACTAATAGGGTTAAACGAAATGTTTTAGGTCTTGCAATGTGTCTCATTTTTAACCATGCTTTTACCAGTGTACAATGACTGAATTCGTAATACCCACCATGTGGAGAATTCTAATAAATGACTCTGACTCTGACTCTGAAAAGCCAAGAACATAAACATTTTCATGGAGCAAACGGTCTTCGAAGTGGAGCTCAGTTGCCATATACCCACTCAAGTGCGCTCCGTTTTCAAAGAGCTGAAGCAAAGGGCAAAGAGATAGAAGGGCTCAGAGATCAAGCTTCGGGCCGCGCTGAAGTGAACAGAGCTGTAAAAGGTGTGTGTGGCGAGGGAGGGGGGGGGGGGTAGGCACGACAGGCGATTATGAACTGCGAAGTGTGTGAATAGGGCTAGAGAGAGCTAGCGTCCTACGGCGACCTCGGTGAACACTGAACTGATACGGACTTAAGAGGGAGGAGGGGGGCTGATATGTAGTAGACATGTGCATGGATCCGAGTGATTGATCCATGATCTCAGTGGATCTTAAAGCAAACGACAAGCTTGGATCTATAATCCCATTGTATCCCTGTCCCACGTAGAAAATGTATCCTGAATCTCTGAATCTATGATCTCATTGCATCTTATAACAAACCAAAATCAGGATCTGAGATCCGATTGAATCCCACCACATGCAACCTAATGAAACCATGTTTCCATGCGACTTGTTTTGAATTTTGAATTTGAATTTGCGTTGTTTTAAATTTTCTCCGTGTACCAACTGCGCCACTGGAGCCGCCCATATACTCCATGACACCCACAGGGTGTCATGGAGTATATGGAGCCTGTGGGCTCCCTGTGGGTGTCAACTTGGTGACACCGTTATAAGTGTAAGCAGCGCTGTGACACCTTTAAATTACACCCGTGGGTATGCAGTTTAACACACACCCAGGCGATTATTCCCCCCAGTATCCCTATGGGTGTCAACTTGGTGACACCGTTATAAGCGTTGTGTTGTGACACCTTTAAATTACACCCGTGGGTATGCAGTTTAACACACACCCAAGCGATTATTCCCCCCAGTATCCGTACGGGTGTTATCTTGGTGACACCATTATAAGTGTAAATAGGGTGTCTGAGGGGAGTCGAAACGCACCCTTGTCTGGGGTGTATGACACCACAGTACAGAAACTGGACACCCTTAGGGATAGTACAATGGTGTATCTTGACGCTCATATAAGTGTTATCTGACACCTTTCAAAA